TGACTGCAGGTTTTTTGTGCACCTGGCATTCCAGCTCAGACCCTCTTAACAAAGAGGAGGGAAAAAACTGAAGGCAACACAAACATAGGAGGTGTTCCTCTGCTGTCAGCTCATAGCTACAGATTCACTTTTTTGTGATGTGAGCCTATTCTATTATTTCTTTTTCTGTTATTTGCTACACCTGTTCACTATATTGAGTTCAGTTGATTTTTACAGGAAAAATACAGGCTTGTGACTGTCATTCATGTACTGATTCTTTGAACTGAGACCACTTGTTTTATTCAGTGAATATGGCAATCATAGCCATACATAATTTCTACAGAAAATGGTGCTTTATTTCTTGCTTGAAAAATGGTCAGTTTACCTTCCAAGTTATCTACTGTATTTATCTTAGATACTGACAGAGACAGTTGCTGAACTGTTATGTGGGCACTTTGTAATGATATTAGGTTACTTATGGTAGAGATTTTAATAAAGGATTATGTGATTTAAAAAAATATAATTGATAGACTCCAGTGGGTCTTACTAATTTACTTCAAAATCTTTACCTTTTATATTCTCCTTGAAAAATTCTTACATACTCTTGGAAAGAATAGCTCCTTAATCACTCGTAATGCACTTCAAATAGTCGTATCATTTGAAATAATTGTCCTTAAAATGGCATTTCTGTTGCCCCGATATTCTACCTGAGCTTATTTATAATATATACTTCTCATTCTACTGACAAGAGCAAGTGCTTATACTGTCGATAGACCTGCAAACCGAAAGCCAAGCTTTATTCATGCGAGACCCATACATCAGCAGTGCATAGTGGAGACTGAGTTCCGGGTTTAAGATGTATACCCTAGTGAATGAGTCAGCTAGATCACTAACAGAATCATAGAATTATTTAGGTTTGAAAAGACCTTTAAGATCATTGAGACCAACTGTTAACCCAACACTGCCAAGTCTACCACTAAACCGTGTCAGTCCTGCATCTATGCATCTTTTAAATACCTCCAGGGATGGTGACTCCACCACTTCCCTGTGCAGCCTGTTCCAATGCTTGACAGCCCTTTTGGTGAAGACATTTTTCCTAATAAATTTTGCTGGAGCCTGTCCAAAGCAAAGCAATGAAGCTGGTGAAGAGTGTAGAGATACATGCCCTTGGTGCTCTTAAAGGTGCCCCTGTATATGCTAGCCTCTCATTTGTCCATTTTGAAATTTTTGCATCATCTTTAAATACCTTTAATTCTCTGGATTTCTTTGGTTTTTGCTTCTATTCATTCTTGGCTTTGTCCAGGGTCCATGCTCAGACCAGCACAGTAGACTGAACCTTCATATTCCTCCCTCTGTTTCTACCCCACTAAAGAAATCCTAGAGCTGAAAACCCACGTTAGAGAGATGTTCCGAAGATACAGCTGAGTACAGTTTTAGTTCATATTCTTTTTTTTTTTTTTTTTTTTTAATTCAAATATATTTTAGCTACAAACTGCAAACCCAGGTGCTGTGGGTTAACCGCTAACACTGTTAACACCTGTAGGAATTCTGTTGTTCACAGTATTTTACTAGAAGCCTAGCTTTTGTCCTCAGAGAGCAAGACTTTTCAAGGTAATGGTTTTGGGCTGTTTCCTAAACATGTTTTGTACATGCAGAGCTACCAGTGAAGTCTGTCAGGACCTTGCCTGTGTTAAGATTGTAAGATCTGATCAGTTACTAGTTCACCTCTTGCAGTACAAAGCCCTGTGTGCTGGAGTCAGTCTGTAAATGCATCTCCTCTGCTAGTGCTGTGAATTAACACTGCAGAGCACACAAGTTGCATTTAAGACGAATTTGCACAGATTACAATGCTGTGTGCATAAAACTGGTGCGCTGTTTGTCTGTTTGTAGGAAGTTTTAAGGGCTGGATGTTTGTTTAAGCTCTGCTCTGAATCCCTGAGCAAAAATTACTGGGATTGCAGTAAAGATTTCTTAGCGCTCCCCACTTGTCTTTCTCTTTAAACCCCCCTGAAGATTATTTGAACTATTTTTTAATATCTCCTTGTTTCCATGCAAGGCTTTCACATCTGATCAAGTCTTATTAACTCCATATGTTGCAAGGAACACTCTGAGTTTGTTTGTTTGTTTAAGCCTCAGTTAAAAGAAGTTGGGTCTTTAAATACCGTACAACAAGCCTGGAAGAGCTCCATGGAGGGGAGAGCACAGCTGTTCCATCATGGTCCGTCATGGTTTCCATGTGTCCCATAGGCATTATCTTTCTTAAACTCATCTTGCAAAATTACCTGATTCCTTATGCTTGTGTGTGTTTAGACTCACGGTAATAGGTGGGTGTTTGGATTTTATTTTTTCCTTTTTTTTTGTCTTTTTTTCCCCCTTCACCTGGACTGCATCTTACATTGTACAGGTCTGTCATGGCATGCTCCTGTCCCATCTGATCCCTCGTAAGTGTAAAAGTCCCTTTTCTCTGCCACCTCTACCATCCAACTGTAGTTTTCAGTTAAAGCATTTGCAGAAAAACACGAATTGCTGAAAAATTTGATGACTGGCTTCTGACTCCTAATAGTTATTTTTCCTGTGGGGTTAGACCCTGCAAAGTACTGAGTAGCTGTCAGAGGCATGCTGGAACTTAGTCTTCTGCCTAACATGACCGCCTTCGAAAGAATACAAAAGCCCCACTTGCCTTCAAAGACATTAATGAGAATTTTTCCCCCCTGCAAACATATTGTAACTGTGAAATAACATTAAAGTTTCTCTGCCTTGTTATGAAGTCTTTAAATGTCAATGCCATTTCTGAGACCATCAGGGCAGATTTAATGGTGGCCAAGGTCAACAAATGCTAACTGGTACCTCTCTTTTAGGGCCTTCAGGGACTCTTAATAGAGTCTCAGCCATGAAGTTAATTTGCGATGTGGACCTTTATTCTTAAACCTGCTACTGATGATTATTTTGTACCATCTTCATTTGTGTGCTTAGCTTTCTTAACATTCTCTTGTCTCTTCAGTCAATAAACCAGACTGCTAAAATACAGAATTTCTCAGTTATTTCATCTTTCGAGTCTTCTCTTTTTTGCTCTTTTTTACTTCTTTTTATGGGCTGCAGAAGGATAGGTGTATGCTTTCTGTAGGCCACCCTAAGCTGCCAGCTCTGGTAGGATCCTATAAGAATACCTCCAGGTCTGCCACCTTCTGCTGTCCTGGAGGCTGGGAAACTGGCCGTTTTGAAAGCCTTTCTTTGTTGGTGCCCTAAATGCTTCATTAACAGAAGCAGGTGAGGTATGAAATGAGAGACAACACATAACCGTGCAATTCTCTTACTTTCCTTTTTTTTTGTAATATTTCTTCCTGTTTCTGATCATCCCTTTATGCATTATCTAATTTAGATTAAAAGGGCTTTGTAGCCTTTATTTGTCTACAAAATACTGCAGACAAGGATGGCATGCTAGAAATAATAAATAACCAAACTCCGTCTTTTTCTGCTCAGTTGCCCTGCCAGCCCCTCTGACTTTAAAATATTTTAATGTCCTGCACTTTTCACCCAGTCCAAGCACCAGACTTTGCTCAGACATTTAGCACTGACATTAATGCAAATGCCTCCAACTCACTGGGCTCTTTAAGCAAACTGTGACATCCTTGGCTTTCAATCACATGGCAGAGAGGATGTATTTGTAGCTACAAACCTGGAAATAATAAAATATCAGTATTCAGGTGCTAATCCATGTTAATTTACATTCTGTGAAGTCTACAAGAAACTTGTAATTGGTTGTCTTGAAGGGCAGCAGAGTATATTTGGTATTTTGTTTGTTTATAAAAATAATTTAAATTATACGTATAAACACTGCATAGATGTAGATTATATCTCTCTTCTAATCATCGCTGGACGCTCGCTTGCATTCCTGAATTCTAGTGTTTAAAAGCTTGCTGACTGTCTTCCACTCTATGTGGTAATACCTATCTATTGTAAGTGTGAACAGAGTGCAAATAAGACCTTTCTTTCCATCAGTGGTTACCAAATTTCCCTGCTAAACCACTTTCACTGCAGCGGTTTTGTTATCTTTAACAAACCTGTCTTCTGTAATTAAAAGAATTAGATCTTTGTGGAAGGTCCCAAAGGTTGTAGGAGTTTAAATTCAGCACGTTATTGAAATTAATGCGCAGGTCTAGCAAAATAAATGAGAGTACCTGATTCACTGCTGTTCTGATGTGCATGAAAACTCAAATGTTTAACTGCCTACATGAACCATAGTGCAAAGATACTCCGGGATGTAAGTAGGATTTTGATGTCTCTTACATAATATCTATTAGTATAACAAAACCACTAGAATTTGCTTGCACTGGGTTGACAAATGTGAATTACAGTTGCTTCCTTTCTTCAGAGTTTTATCAGAGTATAATCACTTGCCCAGCTTAATTGAAAAATCACTTACGTTTATAGCTGAACTTAAACATGTTTTGTATTTAAATGACAGCTTTTGATGTACAACCATTTTTTACAGAAAGTAGTTGGTTTTTATCTGTGTTTCTGTAAAGATATTTCAGAAACTCTCATCAAATTTCCAGTGGTAAGTAATATCCTATTCAGTGCAAGGTGAAATGTTTTACATCAAATCTCCTGCTGTGTAATGGCCAATCAAAGAGTATTTATAGTGGCTGAATGGATTTTTTGGCTCAGTATTCAAAATTAAACATTTTCAAACCTTAACATTTAATGTTTTTTGCCACTCTTCAAGTTGATTTTATGTAACCCTAGATGCTCACAACTACTTGATACTCTGAAGTGACTCATTTTATGCTGAAGATCCTGCAAGCAGTAGTTTTACATTTATTACAATTGCGTAGATGGAATGAAATGTAGATTTGATAGCAGATTCATATCTGTCTTCTGATAAACATTTTCTCGGGTTTGGCTGTATGTCCATCTGCATGATGCAGCAAGTTATTTCTGAGAGAACACATGTACAAAGTGAAATTAATGAGCAAAGCTAAATTTTGGTAATTCACAGGAAATTGTTTTTCTTATTGCAGGCATCCAGTAAGAAGAGCTTATGCCAGCAACCGTCTTTGGAGCTGGATGGTTCCTACTTGGGTATTGGGGGATCTCAAACATTGCATAAGAACAGTAAAGCATCAAAGGCTGGAAGCCCAGCCCGTGTTGCATTGCCTCAGCCTTGCAGAAATAATTATGATTATGGGGCTGAAATTCACTACAACCATCAGGAATCTCTGAAGGAATATCCAGTAGAAAATGGCTTTCACAGGAAGTGGAACAACATGATTTCCCCAGCCAAACAGAGGAGCCCTCGCCATGTAAAACCACCTCAGGAGATTGACCAGAAAGCAAATGAATTTCACAGCATGTGCCCTCTACAAGTCTGTCATGGTTGTGCCTGCAAGCAAGGAGGATGCTCAGGGAGCATGCAGGAGAGCCACCAGGTCAGCCAGGTACTTAGAAAACACTCTGCACCAGTTCAGAAAACCTGTGATGATTCTAGGCTCTCTCAGGTTTCTGGGCTGAATGACAGTGTGAACTCTAGGAAAAAAGAAACAGAGAATGCTAAAAGGTTATATGAAGAAAGAAGGCAGAAGCTGCTTCTGCAGAAAATGGAGCTGGAAATTGAAAAGGAACGAGTCCAACGTTTACTGGCTGAGCAAGAAGCAAAACTGCTCCTGAAACAACAGCGGCCACACCAATCCTGTATGGATTATAACAGGTGATTTTGAGATTCCTAATTTGTAGCAGATTTCTAAAATTCCTAATGAAACATGGGCCACAGTTAATTAAAGTGGGAGAATGGAACTGATAAAATAATTAAGACCTATAGCACAAATTTTCTCTAACTGTGATTTAGAGGAGAGTAGACTTACTAGTATGTTAGCATATAGTGTTGGGAAACAGCATGACAGCTGTGGAAAGCAGCAGAGGAAAACAGTCGGGGGTAGAAAGAAAGGCGCAAGAAAAGCAGTGCTAAAAGACTAGGTAGGGAAAGAGACGCAGCAGAAGAAAATGAGAGGTTGATCTTACTGCAGGTATTGAAGGAATACAGACATTTGCCAAGAGAGCAGTGTGAGCATAGAAGACATATATGGCATTCCCCCTTCTTTCCTTGAAGAGGTCAGTTTTGAAGCATTGCATCTTCCTAGGTAGGGACTGGACAAAGTGTATTTTACAGGAAAGGAGATAATTTTATGTATATGTGGAATATATATGTATGGAAACACAATGAAGCTCTGTGTAGCAAGGACGTTTTTTTTTCCCCGTGGTGTCTGTGGAAGGCAGAATGTGAAGGCTGAGGCACAATACATGACTGAAACTGTAAGAATAGAAATATGGGATGTGGCTTTAAAGGCCTATGAGTTAGTTGCAGAGATAAGGTAACATCTTGGTGACAATGTAAATGGGGTCTCTGGGAAAGAGGGAGAAACTAGTTTATTGGTTATCACATTACTAGAGTGGAGAGGATGCGTTAAAGGGAGCAGGTTAAAGCAAGTTGAATTAGCCAGTGTAACTCAGTTGAGTACTAGCATTTCAGCATTAGGAAGGGAAAGAAATGGGGAAAACTAGCAGTCTTTTGGAAGAAGCTATAGGAGGGTTTCACGGGGATGCATATTTTGATACCGTTTTAATATGGCAACTGCTGACAGCATCCCGTGAGAGTATGCATTGCATGACCCACTTCATACATTCAGATAATATAACCACCATGTAGGAATTTATCACTTTTTCTTCTTAATCACAGCCACCTGGTTACTTTGCAAACTGTGACAGAGAATATGGAAAATTAGGTGTTTTGGGGGTTTTTGTTGTTGTTGTCTTGGTTTGTGGCTTGCATTGAAAATAAGGTGTTTATATGGCTTTAAAAATACTTGTCTTAAAGGCAATCACAAACTTGTGTGTTGAAAATGAGGTTACAAACAAAGGATTATGACTTCAGGTGAGAATTAAGTAGGAACAGATGGATTTTTAATCATCAAATACCTTAATTCTGCACATGCATCTCTAATGAAAAACAAGTGGAATATGAAGGACATACAGATCGAGTTTTTTGGTGGTTTTGTTTCTGATGGATTTTTTTCAGCATTTGAGCCCAGAAAAAAGTGAACTTACGATAGATATCTGTGATAATGTGCTTGTTAATGCCATTATGCCTGTTTTAGCTTCTGGTTTTTCTGTTTGTTTTTGTTTTCCCTGAAAAAGCATCAGGATTTACAGAACTCTAGTTACCTGAAAGAATTCTGTGAAACAAAATCAGATGATCAATCTGAGGATTCAATATTTTTGTGATCTCTTTTCAGAGGTGCAGGTAAAAGCACATTTGCCATATTCAGTCTAAGTAAAGCATCTAGAATATAGCACACTTGTTCTTGAAAATATTCAGTGTCTTTAGAATTAAGCACCTCCTGTAGGAAGAGAGGCTGAGGAAATTGGGGCTGTTCAGCCTGGAGAAGAGAAGGCTGCGTGGAGACCTCATAGCAGCCTTCCAGTATCTGAAGGGGGCCTATAGGGATGCTGGGGAGGGACTCTTCATTAGAGACTGTAGTGATAAAACAAGGGGTAATGGGTTAAAACTTAAACAGGGGAAGTTTAGGTTGGATATAAGGAGGAAGTTCTTTCCTGTTAGGGTGGTGAGGCACTGGAATGGGTTGCCCAGGGAGGTTGTGAATGCTCCATCCCTGGCAGTGTTCAAGACCAGGTTGGATGAGGCCTTGGGTGATATGATTTAGCATAAGGTGTCCCTGCCTATGGCAGGGGGGTTGGAACTTGATGATCTTAAGGTCCTTTCCAACCCTAATTATTCTATGATTTACAGGTACATCTCTTGGGCATCACAGTTCTGTTTCAGTTCTAGGTGTATAACTCGATAACAGGGTAATTTTATATACTACAAACAATAAAAATTTGTTTAGCTAAGCTCAAATACCTTTTGCTTCATTGTCAGGAGGCTCTAACCTAGTTCATGCCTTAATATCATGACAGTTTAAAAAAATATTATAACAAAAATCCATTTCCATATAGTGTTTATTTTTGTCTGTCCTTCTGCATGGGTGGAGTGCTGGTTAAGGTCCATTCTGAGCTGCTGAAAGTATTGTCATTGAACGACAAGTAAAGGTCTGACCATTTGTAATTATTAGCTATTAAGTCTTCTGCTTTTTTAGCAGAAGTACAAACTGATCCTTTTTTTTTGGCCACACTGCATCATAACTGCATTTTAATTTCCCACATTTCCCTATTTAGCCTCAAGTAAGCATAGTGCTTTGAGTTTGCAGTTTCTACTGCAATAGTTGTTCAGCTGTCAAAAATGGTGCGTTTGCTGGGAAAGGGGCAGTTCAGTGACTCCTTGTGATGCCAGCAACACCAGAGTAGACAATTATGGGTAAACATATGGGTAAACAGGTATGTTATTCAAGTAAAAAGTACCTCTACTGTTGATTTTTCTATCTTCATTGGAGGGAAAGAAAAAGGTGGGGCTATAAGAAAAAGGCTCAGCTGTAAGCTAAGCCCAACAGGGATGTTTGTTACTGGATACTATGGCCATTTTCTTAAGGGAGCTGGTCCTTGGAAATCAGTAAATGAAATTTTGCTTATCTTTTTCCCAATGGTAACCCTTAGAAGCAAAGGCACTGGACATAAGTCAGCCTTCCAATACAAAAATGTATTTGAAACTGTGCAAACAGTCACGAGAGCTACATTTAATGTGATGAAGTGCTCTGTTTGTAGGCACACAACTCACCTTACTGTGGTGAGTTTCTGGTGTGATGATTTGACCAGCTACAAAAACAGCTAATTCTGCTTTTTCAGGTTTAGAGGCCACATGCCTATTTCAGAAGATGTGCCCATTGATGAAGCACTGGGAGAACTTGCTGTGATGATGAACAGCAAGAGCATGGGGCTAAGGTAATTTCTCTTTTCACTTCTAAGTACTTCACAGTGTCAGTATATCTTCTTGACAGTGGTGCTGTTGGCTGCCAAGTCTATTTGTTCAGGTGTTTGTTTCAGATTAGGAGCTTTTTTCTGCAGGAAAGGTAAAATTCATTGGCTGTTGCATTTTAAGTGTCAACTCAGTAGTTATGCTGACCTGTTTTTACTCAGGGTTTAGGGATTGACTCTCTGTAGGGGTCTGTAGAGGTTTTGTGTGTCATCTCTTAAAGACACTAACCTAGCCCAGTTCAAAATTCACAAAATCTTAGCTTTTGTTCTTTGTTTTAGGTACTGCCTGTTATTTTTTTTTTCAATTACGATCAGAACATCTCTTTAGTTTGGATTTGGACCTGATGTAAAAAATACATTACCCTTTAACTCACTGATAGAAATGATCCTTTACACTTGGTGACAGTTCCTTGTTTCTCAAACAGTGCCGAGTTGCCCCTCTGCTTCAGTGTGATCGGAGCAAACTGACACTGCAATAACTGGAATTAGAGTTAAGCCAGTTTCCAGCTCTTTATCTCAATTTTACATGCTATTTAAAACTTTAATCAATACGCGATTGTGTTTTCTTTCTGTCCCATCCATTTCCTGTTAGCACTGGGAGAATATTCAGGCTCATTAGAAAAGCAACAAATAAAAACTGAATTTGATAGGGTTTTTCTCCCTTTCTCAAGAAATAACATCTCTTTGTTCTGTGCTTTAACTATAGATGTTCATTTGAACAAAATGTCTTCAGGTGGACAAGATGAACAGCTGTCCTTTGAATGGCCTCGTCTTTAGGGACTTCAAAATAATAACCTTTTGTGTCCATTAGGAGAATACTGGAAGAACTGTTAATTTATTTATAAAATAAGCATCCAATTTTTTTTTTCTTTTCTTTTTTTTAAATCATTATGATACTGATTTTATTTTATTTTTTGAGATTCCTCTTCACTGAAAAGGGATAAGACTCTTTCTCCATAACAACAGGAGTTGTTAGTTTCCTTGGAATACTTCACTGCTTAACCAGGTGTTTGGCTGCTGTGAGTTACTGGCATATCCTCATTACATTCGATGCATTTTTGTTTTCACACTGACTGAAGTGATCGAAATGTGATCACTGGTATGTTTAAAATGCAGTAGCATTAAGTGCCTTGGAGGAAAAATGTAACCTAGAACATCTGTAAGGCTTCTTGGCAACAGTTTACCAAAAACCTGCAGAAATCTACACAGCCTAAGCAGGGAAGATGAGGAACTTGTGCCATTAATAAAACAAGAGTTCCAGATTTCAGAAGGTTCCCCTCCGTCTCTTCATTCCCCTCATTTAATTTACTGTAATTTTTCAAAGTGAGTATGTGTTCATGCAGTCTTAAGCCATGCCAGCTGGTTCTGAAGTTTGGCAGCAAAACACTTGGAAGTTTTTCTTCCTGTATGCCATCTTCAGTTTTGCAAAGGTTACCAGATGAATGCTCCCTAAATAATTTACTCTAATGTAAGGCTGAAAGAGGCTATGGAAGACAAGTCCATTTGTCTCTTTTATGCATTTGAATATGTAAGTGTTTTCTTCAGTATCAAGGGAGAGTTTGCAAGTGTGTGGCTTGAGCTTAGAAGGAGGAAGAACTGGTAGGAGTGCATCTTTTAACAGTGCCTTTTGGAGGGTTTATTATTATTATTATTATAGTTGTTATTTGTTTTTTAATTGACCTGCCAAATGGTTCTTGTTACAGCAAATACTATCAGAACCCTAATAGAAAAACAGCCTTCTCTGACTTCCAGTTCATGCATAAGAGCCCCTCTAGCAAACCTCACAGCATGTAACTTGATTTCAGTCTTCAAATAAGCTGATCTTAGCTTAAAATTATCCTGGTGTTTTAAAGGAAATGGTGAAAGTCCTTTAAAATACTAAACTTGCTGAAGTGAGATACTGGAGTTTAGAAGTAAAATAAATAATATAATCAAGAACTGAAAAACATAGGGTTTTTTATAATTAACAGCTCATTTTGAGTTAATTATCTACAATTACGAAAATCTAATTGCAATTTATTCTCTACTATCTGTGGGAAGAATTGTAGGCAAGGGAATGTGCATCACTGCCAGGCATAAATGCTATAGGATGGGTAGAAATAATAGAGGAGCCCTTAATGAAAAACAAAAAGCAAATAGGAATGTGCAGCTGTGCCAGGGTATTGAAAGGTAATTGTAGTCAGAAATGAGATACATACTTTAAAAGGCATCTTGTCATCTCCTGTAGGGATTAATTTTTTCCCTCCTTGAAAAAGGGGGAAAAAGATTCCACAAACAAATACAATACGGAGGTTGATTTCTGGTACAGAATTTGGTTATTGTCTGTGAAAAAGGGAACTTTTATCTCAGAGATTACTACAAAGCGTAGCCAAATTTTATAACAGATGCTTGTTTCATTTTCTCTTCTGAATTATGATCATTATGATCTTTTAATTAGCAAAGTCAGCTAGCATTGTCCATCTCAGCGTCTTTGGATGGTCTCGATACGAATTTGCAGTATTTGCAAGTGTTGAATTTGTCACTTTCCTGCTGGGTATGTTGAGGAGCTGTTGGGAAGAAATGTGTCCGTCCCTTTTCCTGCTGCAGCTGGCCCGGCATATGGGGCCTGAAGAGTCTTCAGATGCAGGATCTCCAGTTCTCTAAGGTGCAGCAGTCAGACCAGGTTTTATTGAGGATGGTTTTCAGTAGCTTGTAGTGCTCCTAACTGAGCCCACAGCCAATTTTCAGCTATAGAGATAGTAACTTGTACAGTTAATGGCAAGTTGTCTGCCTGTATAATTTCTTTTCAAATCTGCCCCAGTGTGCAAGACGCTTTAAAATATTCAAAATAAAAACATAACCTGATGCATTTGTTTAGCATAAAACAGCCTTTTACAAAGCGCTTTCCATCTCCCAAACGCAGATGCTTGGTACATGCTCAAGTACCCACTCCATGCGTATTCAGTAGGATCAATACACCCAGCACCTGCTTTTGTGTGTGCTCCTGATGTCTGCATCTGGGAGAGGAATTTCAAAACAATCCACTCTGTTCACCTTTATTTCATCTCAACGATGGATCTGAATGTCATGGAAATCAGCCCTTTTTAATAGCACCAACTAGAGAAGATGCAGTTTGCTACTTTGCAAACCCCCCCTTCCTAGAGTTGTGCTTTGTGCCTAAATCTTAACGTACAAGATGCCCTGCTTTTTGCCCTGCTGTACGGCTCTGCCAATACAGCTTTCTACTGGCCTTCTCTCTAACCTGCGTCTTTTCCTGAGATTTCACACAACAGTGCCACGGCACCTTGACACTGACCTGTGCAAAACATTATGAATAGGAATACAGCAGCTATCGGATGACTTTAGTTATCTGCAGGCGCTCTTTCAATGTGTGCTACCTGGTTAAAGCATTTCTTTCCTGGAGTATTAAAGATTTGCAAGCGGAATTTGCCACCTTTAATTCTGTTGAAGGCTTTTTTATGTTCATGTGCTTCATTCTGTATCACCCGCATGTATTTTCTTTCCAGTTTGTATTTTTAGTTAGTTGAAAATATCAAATGCAGAATTCAGCAGTACTTTCCCCCACTATCTGAATGCACATTGCTATGGTGATAGTTCCAGGAGGGAATGCTGTCAGGGGTCTTTTAAAAGATTTTTATGTTTATGGTGTAACTATTTTTATTATCTTGTGATAGAAGGTGACAATTATCTCTTGCTCCTTGTTTAATGCTTTGTTATGAACTCGATTTTTTCTGAGGCTTGTTAGACATGCAGGCATCTTTCTATGGTGATGTGAAAGCGTACTTCAGTGTTTTTGTCCAAATATCCAATGCAATTAAATAGACAGAGGAACGCAGACTAGCAGCTCCCCCTGCTGTTCTAGGCATATCCAGGTTTGTTCACACAATACCCCCCTCCAACTAATTTAAGAAATGAAATAAAAATCACATGCAGTCACATGGCTTTGTCGCCTCCGACCTGACTTGCACCATCCCCATTACTCCTGTGTTTGAAGGGAGTTGATAATTAACAACCAGTGGCAGTGGTAGCACCCATTCGGTTTCCTATTTGGAATGTTATTGTCAGTTCTTCATGGCAGGATGTGTCACCTCCTGTTACTCTTGTCCTGAGTCGCTGGAGGGGAAACCATCACCAGTGCCATAAGTGGTCTCCCAGGCTTCTGTTCATCTGTAAAATGTCCTTGGTCTGCTTAGTACTTGGCCAACTTTTAGGAATGTGTTGAATACAGTTTGCTGGGATTTTTATTTTTCATCTCTTTGCTGTTTTGGCAGACTGGCACATTAAATCGGTCTGAAATCAACTGTGCTTACAAATGGCCCATAAAATCTGTGTAGCTGGAAGCCACTTACCCACTTGTTAGTGCTCCTTTTAACACCCAAGTTACTTTCTTGTTCCAGATAATTTTACATTGAAGTTTGCATCATTTTTAGATAGGATATTTGTGGAGCGAACACTTCTTTGGCCAGTAAAAAAAGTGCTTGCAGAACTGCCAGTAGCGCAAATGCTGAATTAGGTGCAGATAATGAGTTTTTCTTTCTCTCGTGGTGTTGTCTGGCTATATATAGGCACCGCATCCCTCCAACAGATGGCTGCCAGGGTCTGTCGTGACGTTAACAGGAGAGTGTAGTTGGAGTGAGGTGTGCATTTTTGCTTCTTTAGTGCCACGTGCAGGCTCTGAAGGTAGTAGGTTCTCATGATCACATATGCTGCACACAGCAGTATTACACGATTCCCATTACGGTCCAAAGTAACCTTCAGCAGGAAGCCTACTGATAGACGAGGTATACGGTGTAAGCAGGAGATACCGTAAGTAACCTCCATAGGCAGATGGAGCCAACCTGTAGGTGAGGTCTTCAGAAAGCACGGGAACTTTGGTGTTAGAACACTTCTAAGCGTAGGATAGTAGTCAGTGAATAAAACTCAAGTGCTTTGGTATTTTCAGGGAAAGTTGCATTTTTTGCCAGTTT